TTTTTTTTCTCTTTACTTCTGTCTATGGAAGAGATTCTCCAGGCAGGGGTGACACCTTTGTTGTCACTTCCTGCTGTTCATAGCAGGTAAAACTGCAGCAAGAGAAAACAGCACACAGTGCAGGAAACAAAGAAAGAGAAGCTGCGATGATTTAAAAGATTTGCGCTGTGCTTCCTCATCTAACACTGACAGTTATAATGAGAACCTGTCATCTCTGGCTTTGAAACTCATGGCCATACTGATTAAACACACACGAACCCCTCCAATGTCCTTGATTGCTCTGTTCGGCAAAGAAATGCAAATTTTGCTCATAAACAAAATGACTAATTTGTTTCCTAAATGACTTCCTGCTCTTGAAGTATTTACTAAAACATTGATTACATCAGCAACCAGGTATTGTTAGTAAACCAGTACTATAAAGCACATATTTTTGTAATCTGAGCTTTAAAAAGCAAATGATAACCCTGCTTATTTCACTTAACATGTTTAATATGAAACTGTTGAACATTAGACTGTGAATAGCTGGCCTGTCTGATTTCTGGAATCGTAACTTATCCACTCATGTATCATTTTCAAAGTGTCTGTTCACTCCATTGTGAGACTAAAAGCATAAAAGGGGAAGTAGACTCTGCACAAGGGTGGAAAGCTGTTTTCTGAAAGCATCTACAAAATTCTCTTGGACAGCATTTCCAGTGGCCCATTTCAAAATGTCATCCACTGTCTGGGGAGTGGGTGTTGCATTAAGGATAATGAAGATGGCAAGAGGGTGAATGCTGTCTTCCTCACTGAAATACCATACAAATTGTTAGATTGATAAATGCTGCCTAAAATGACAGGTAATGTGGCACACCTTCAGCCTTCCAAGCTGGAATGCAATTCTGCAGTGCGCAGCTGCATCTATGCGGGGGCCCTTTTCCTTGTTACCAAAAAAAGTCTAAAAATAGCTAGTGGGAACCCTGAGATGAGGCATAAAACACAAGCCTGCACAAAGACAGCTTTCAAAGTTGAAATAGATCAAAGTGCAAGCGGAAAAAGAGCAGGTTATTTTAGTGACAGTGACAATCGAGCTTCAGTAGAGCATAACTAAGACTCCCACACTGACACAAAGAAGGAGGTTCTCAAATGTGTGGTAGCAGCCCGATAAGAAATTTCACAATAAAAAAAAAACAGAGCTACAGGTCAGTCTGACTTCTCTTTGCTAAATAGTAAAACTGCCCCTGCTGCTAAACCATTGAGAAAATACACCAGCAACAAAGCAGTCCAATAATGGAATTTCGCAGACAATAGGTCTGCAAAACTTGCAAGTTACGCAAATGCACGGTGTGAAATAATTTATTTTTACTCGATGTATCTTCAAAGAAATCAAAAGGTTACCGATTTTCCAAAATTAACCTCGCTTTCCTGGACTGATTGACGGTTTCTCCTCCTCATTGATGCTTCCACATCAGCAGAGGCGCGACTGCGATTAGTGAACATCACAGAGGGGGGGAATGCGCTTCTAGTTATTGACCGCTCTTGATTTAGATTTTTCTCATACTTCAAGTAATATTTGCGCTGATATTATGGAGAGGTGGGAAAAGTTGCTCGAAGTGTGCTTTTGCTTTATGATTTTTGCAAGTTGTTAAGATGAATGGAGAGAGAGAGAAATGAATGCATTTAAAGGTACGACTCACCAAGCGAGTTCCCAATGAGTGAAACGAAGAATACAATAATGTAAGCCACAATGAGAACCCATTCATACTGCTTGGGGTGTAAATACTCTCTCCAAATGTATCTCAGAAGTTCCTCGTCGTCATCCAAGGTGGGATGCACATGTAACTCCGTGCTGTTGGGTAGATGTCCAGAAGATAAGCACTCCTCGCAGTCCACGTTCCCAGTGATGCCAGACATGCTTCCAGGTGTTTTGTGTGCCCGATGAACTGCAGCTGTTGCTTGTGCGTCTGCAGTGACCGCAGGTTGTTTGAGCACACTGCAAACGCGATTCTAAATGCGCTCCGCACGGACCACTCGTCAGAATGACGCTGGTCTCCCTTCTGTCTCCATTCAAAGCCACTGCAGGGTCAAACACCAACACAGCAGATTGCAGCGAGCAGCGAGCTCTGAGCTGCAACCCGAATGCCCACTCGCGTAAAAATAGAGAGAAACGGGGTGTTCGGGCATTTCTGCGGGGAGGGGTGCAGGAACAAGGTTTGGAAATGAATGGGGTGATTTAAAATGCATCAGCTTAATCTGCTTTTAATTCTGTGCGAAATTCAATTACAAGCATATAAAGGAGGGCACATTGGACGGACGGCTTGAGACCAATTCACGGACACGGTTAACCCCCTTAATCCAACAGTGCACTTGTTTTAAACTAATTGGTTTAACTGGGTCCTGTAGTGCTTGAGCAAATTGTTGTGACTGTGTGAAGGTAATGACTGAATGGTGGGACAAGCCTCAGACTGTGTACCAATTTATTGGCGACATGTTTTCGAATTTTATTTAAAAAAACAAAACGAAACAATGACAACAATATAAACTGCTGTTTTTATGTCATTAAGACTCCTTTTTTGTATTTATTTAGTCTTATTTCTCTTTGTCATAAGCTGTGAACAGCTCTGGTGTAAACAAATCATAAATCTGAACATCATTTCAGCATCTTGTTTTTTGGGGGCATATACTGCATACTGTCGCTGGGTTTGTTTAGGCAGCTCTTCTGAGCAAAATATGGTGTTATGATGACGGTATGGAAATCATGATTCCATTCAAAATGAATAGACCAGATTAAATCTGCAAGGCAGTCAAAGCACAACTGCACGGACTCCTGCTGAGAAGTTAAAAATGAATTAAATGGTACATTTGAATTAAAGATGTGAATCTCATGGTGGAGCAGTGCTTAACAAGGCTGCCTTACAGGAAGCTTCAGTACCCTTGATAACATAAAACATATACATCAAGTGAGGGTCCTTTAAAAAGCCTCTGTATGAATCCTCTTCCTCATGGTTTATGTTGACATCATGATATATTTGAATTCAGGATTAGGTTTTGTAAATTGTGCTTTATGTATCTATATGTGCATGCACGTATACATTGTACTGGGCTACTGTGCCTGTGAAG